ATTTTCGCCAGCTGAGATGGCATGTGCTGCCTGACTCCACCCTTCTCTCCTGGCTGCAGCGCCGTCCGGAGAGAGTAAGGAATGGACATTCCAGGCGTCTATCAACCTGGTGCTTCCCTCGACATACCAGCAACTGAAGCGCGAGGGCCATTTTGGCTACTTCCAGAATGACACCAGCCGTGTGGTCTACCCAGCCTTCATTCTACGCAGGGCCAAGTTAAAAACGGAGGACTTGGTCCAAGGGATTCTTCTGTTTCTTTTGACTAAATTGTTCTTCCCACCCGGATTTCTAAATGTACACCTCCTTTCTCCTTTGTTGCCTTTAGAGCATTGACATAGCACATGCAAATATGAAACCAGGCAAAATCTTAATGAATAAAGGAAATGTCGAAGGGGTCCAGATCAACCGGAGCCCTTATTCTTATCTGCAGAATCCACCATCGGAGAGAGCAAGGTGAGATGGGCGGGTCGCATGAAGCCAGTGTTCCCTTGCCATTTTGCCCATAGCAAAATGTAGGCACCCCATGAGCTCGGCGTCACCAGCAGACAGAACGGACTCGATGGCAGAGAGGGTGAGCACCCTCGGATGCTGGGAAGGTGTGAAGGTCAAAATGATGTAAACGTATTTGTCATCTAAGACAAGAGAACACAAAAAGTGAACAAAGAGGCACGTGCCAGCGTCTACACATGTCTTTCCGGTTCCCTGGCTGTGGGAAGCAGTTTGGGTATTTGAAGCCTGGCATTCAGCACAACTGTGGTCTCAAGTGAGCATTATCATTGCTAGTTATGTGACTGTCAGAAACTGCCTTATCTTCATTTACTCACTCTTAGGGTTTTCATCTATGGAAAGCAGATAACATGCGCCTGCTAAATAATCAATAGCTCGTTTTATTACATGTAGAAAGTCATCTCGGTTCAGGCGAACGCGGGAAGGGAGAGGAGGTATAAAAGAATAAACAGACAGGAATTAAGAGCATGATGTAAACCCAACGTAATTAAGTGGAGCATCTGATCCTGATGGCTCTTTTGCCTTCTATTTTTATTTTGTAGGCGAGGAACCAGGTTGATGACAGAGAAGTCTATGGCCACTGTAACCATGTGACATAACAGCTCAGTTTCAATTTGGCCACTTGACATTTTGAATATATTTCAGTACCTTTCAAAGGAGTTGATTTTTTCAGAAACTATAACCTGGTCTCTCTTGAAAGGAGAAAAAAAAATGCTCTAAGTTGTAGCTCACCACTTGTGTTGAATATTCCTACCTATTTTTAACATGGTCTGTTAAAATTTGATATCTGATGAGAAATTTCACAGCTAAATCTTCTGTATTAAAAAATACATATGTTAAATTATATATAAAGACATCTATAATTCTGCTCCCATCAGTTTATATCGCATCTCTCATTCTGACCACAGTTGCAGGCAGTCCTTCGCTGAGGAAAGAGGTAAAGGATATAGTCCTGTCGCCAGTCAGAGACACTCGCTTCTTGAGAGGAATTTCTGTTTTTGTAACAGTTGTCTTGCTTACCACACAGGAGAGCCAGCCTCTACCACAAAATTGATCGAACGTTCTCTGTTTTCCTGACCAGGTATTCTTCAAATACAGACAAGGAAATGGTCGTGTTGAAAATGGTAGACCTGAATGGAGAGGACCTGGGCTGTATCAGGTACTGTATTTCTTTGTGAAGGCTGTCAGGATAACAGAGTGAGCGGAAAGAGAATGAGGAGGAAAGAGAATTGTGTTAGCAGAGAGGAGAACCATCGAGCAGTGAAGTGTTGACCTCAGAGAGCAGGCACACAGAGGGCCAGAGATGGGATGGGAGGCACACCTCTCAGTCCCTCAGGGTTTAGTGCTTGCGCTGTAAGATGGTAAGTATGTGCTTTTGCTTATTGTATAAGGCAAGTGTAAGTCTTACTTAATGAAAGGTGTGTTAGTCTGGGTGGACTAGGAAAGTGAATTCATAGACACTTATATGTGTAAGAGAGACCTTTATCCCGAGAAGCAGTTGTGCATCAAGAAAACACCCCAGCCCAGTGCAGACCAAGTCCATGAGTTAATTCAATATTAGACCATCAGTCCGTGATTCGCCCACGAATTCCTCTTGCGAACCACACAACACATGCAATGACACTGAATTCAGGAAAATCACAGGCCCGTGGGCAGAAAGTCTTGGCAACCCATGGAAGTGGAAGCCTCTCAGTGCTGGCAGGGGTCTCCACATGGCTCCTCCAGCTCCAGGGCTCTGGCTGCATCTGCATTGCTCCATCAGGCTCCTTGTCAGTAATGTCTCGGGGTGTGAGGGAGTGTCCCGCCTCCTGCAAGCTATTTATCTCCTTAGCGCCTCCAAATGAGGTCGTCAAGCTGCAACCTGCTTGACAGGTTAGACTCCACCCCTCCACAGGTTGAGACAAGATTATGTAACCGCCACAAGGGGTCTGAGGAAAGAGCTCAAGTACAGCATCTGGCAGTTAAACATTAGTGCTTATTGCTGTGTCAAGATCTCACACATGGGACTTCCATGATGGTGTACAATGGTTGCTTGCTAAAACAGGGACAATAATATGACCAAGCAAGCCAATAATTATGAACCGGTGCTCTTCCAGAAGGGTTTAGTCTTGTGCAGGATGATGGAATCCGTGATAAACGCAGATCACCTATTGAAAACAGACATGGTAAAATTCCAGCTCACCCAGATCTTAGTACTCTTTTTATTTTTTTAAAGTGTTATTTTTAAAATTATTTTGTGACAGTTTTAGTGGCACACAATGCACATATCATATTCTTCTCTGGTAGGCACTGCCTATAAGAAAGCTCATAGATTTGCTTTGTGTCTATTTTGATTTTCAAAAAGAGGTATTTGGATACATTTGTGAGTTTGGTCTTTGCATGTGGATTGACTTGGTGGTTAACTTCGTGTCAGGGATCTTCACCTTGACCCCTCCTTATTAGCTAGCCATTTGGACAAAGTCGACAAGTGCTCTGTGCCTGGAACTGTGGGATCTAGAGACTGTTTAAATGTTGGTAATAAGTGTTCTCATCTTTTTCACGGCGTGGAGTCATTTTGAGTCATAGACCCTAAAGGACAGAACAGAACTGCCTCTGTGAGGTTCCAGCTCTTTAGGAGCTCCATCTCCCCCCCCCTCCCCCCCTCCCCCCGCCCCCATCAGCTGGCCATTTTCAACTGCTGACCTCGAAGTTAGCCACTCAAGGGTAACCACCAACCGTGCCAGGAGAGCCCCTTGACATTAAGTGTCAGTAAAGGGGTAGGACTCTGAAACCTCCAAATGAAAATTAGCAGTGAATGAAAAATACCAACAGGGTAAAGGAAAACCTTAAAGACCAAGACCCGCAGTTCAGACAGGAGCGTTAGCTTCGCAATTAGGTGGAGAAGAGGCTTCTGGTTAGAAGTTCAGGTTTGGCGGTGAGCTCTGGGGAGTCTCATTCCAGCACTGTCAATTGCCAACTCTGTGAACTGGGGAAATGAATTCCTCTACTTCCACTTCAACTGTCTTGTTTGAATGTTCAAACAATAATAGCTCACACGCTTGTTTCAGATTAAAGGAGATCATATGCTCAATGCTCTGTGCCTAGTTTGAATGACTTCAGCTAAAAGGAAAGGGGTAAATGAGACTGTGTCTCTTCTAAGGAAACCTATCATGGGTAGATTAGAAAACCTAGCCTTAGAGTCACTAACCAAAGAAACCAAACGCACTGCCATCAAGTCAATTCCAGTTCACAGCCACCCTGAAGGACAGAGTAGAATGACCTCTACGGTTTCTAAGACGACGGCTCTTTATAGGAGCAGCTTGTCTCCTTTTTTTTTTTTCTTGCAGAATGGCTGATCTTAGAGTTAGCACTCCACTGTGTAACCCAAGCAGGCTCATGCCTATTTCCACCTTAAAATAATCTCTGTTATATGTGCTGACACAATAAAACTTGTCCTTCCATTATAATAAATTAATATACTGATTAAACACTGTGTGTCATTCACTTCAATAGATTTCCTATATGTCAGGTATTTACAAGGGTGTACCTCCCCCAAACTGGAAGAATGCTCCGCTGGATGGAGCTTTTGTAGTGAGTATTTTTCTGCTAGGAAAAATTGAGCAACTGGCTCTGATTTAGTGCACCAGTGGCATCACCTGGGAAGGTTCACTCTGGTCACAGTGAACTTTTTTGGGTAAAAGTTTCGCATGAACCTCATTTTTTTGGTGATCGCTGACTTAAGAGAACAGTGTCAACTTCTTGAAAAGATGAAAATGTCAACAAAATGTGTGCACTTGTGATCGAAGACCAACACCAGGCCGGTGAAGAGATGGGGAGGTTATCTGGACGATTATGGAGCTTGTTTCAGCAATTGTTAATGGAAGACTTGGGAATGAGAAGGATCGCTGCAAAAATTGGGCCTGAGGTTCTGCCTGACCAGGAAAAAGAGCATTGACTGGAAACATGCCATGCTTTGAAAGAACAGCTCTGAAGTGACCCAGACATTTTTCAAGGTCATTACCGGTATTGAGACATGGAGCTATTCTTACAACCCAGAAACCAAACATCAATCAGGCCAGTGGAAGATTCCATCATCACCTGACCCCCAAAAACTCATCAGGTGAAATTAAAGATGGTCTTGATTTGTCTTTTGCTCCTTTTTTTTTTTTTATGTAAGGGGGATAGTGAATTTGGAGTTTATTCCACCAGGCCAGACTGCTAATCAAGCTTACTATTTAGAGGTCCTGAAGAGATTGTGTAACAGTGTGAGACTAAAAAGGCCTGATTTGTGGTAGACGGGGGACTAATTTTGCCACAACAACAACGTGCCTGCTCATGCAGCCATTTCAGTGCACCACTTTTGGGCAGAAAACAGCATGCATCTCTTGCCCCACACACTTTACTCACCTGACCTTGCTCTGTGTGACTTCTTCTTGTTTCTGCGAATGCAGAGGGACATGAAAGGACAGCATCACTATGTGGAAGAGGTGAAGACAAACACGAGGGAGGTGCTCTCAGCCATCCAAACGGATGAGTTTGAAAAATGTTTCCAAGAATGGAATCGCAGATTTGACATAAGTATTAAGTGTTAACAGAGAGTACTTTGAAAGTGATAAGGTTGTTTTTTAAAAACGGGGAAAAAAATACATAGTGTTGAGAAAAAATTCCATTTTGGGGGGGGTACTCCCTCATATATATACTTGGAGTATGCTATAATAGGTAAGGTATCGCCTCTCTCCTCAAAGTGCTTGCAAGTTTGTGGGATGGCTCAGAGACAGGAGATAAGGACAGGTAGACTGACAGTTTATGGTAGCGTAACTCAGATGCGCATCATGCTTCCTGGGAGCATCAATAAGTGCTGTGAATTGGGAGGAAGTAGTCCTGAGCTTCACTGGGAGGTCGGTGTTGGGCTGTTACCTGCAAGATGTGTAGTTCAGCCTCAGCTGCTCTGTGGGAAAGGTAAGGCTGCTGCTCCCATAAAGATGGACAGTTTCAGAAATCCTTTGAGGGTCTCTGGGAGCAGAATGGACTTGAGGGCAGTGGATTGGTACTTCGTTTCGCCCGGCAGCACAGGGGAAGGCTTCAAAGAGCCAACGCTACTTGACTGGACCTTGAAGAGGCCCTGAATGTCTCATGGAATCATGAAGAATAACGAGTTGAGGCCATGGGGAGGGAGTGGATAAGAGATGACTCTGGGAACGGAAGTTAGCTTTAGATGGTGAAGCTCTTTAGTGGATAATTAAGCAGAGAGTTCTAAGTAGGAGTGTGAGGATAGGGATGGCTAGATAGATGGAGTGTCTCAAATTTGTTGTGAGAAAAAGGTGGCTTTCCCCTTACAGTTTCTCTTAACCCTTGGTTTAATGATTGAGACCACTCACAATCCTCTTATTCATTTCTGAATTATTGAATGTTGGGAACAGACAACTCAAAGATGCTCTCTTTGCAATCAGATGTTCTTTGCTTCCTATCATGTAGCTGCATTGCATATCTGGAAACCACAGGGTTAAGTCTGCCAAGGTTAGAGCAATACTCTACCATCTGCTGCGTTTAACACAGGATACTAACTTCCCATTGTGTCTGTAGCTGCCATCTGTGATTCTTAATGTAATTGTTCCTGCAATTGCCTCTTGGTGCCCAGTGATAATTGCTCATTGAATACATTAAAAGTGATAGAAAATGTGAAGACAAACCTGGGTTGCTGGACTAATTCAGCCACCACGTGTAGGGCCTGCTGTCAGATCGGGGGTCTGGAGCCACAGACCCTAAATTGCATGGGCTGGAAGGAGGGCTGATGATGTAGTGGATTGCAGGTTTGGCTACGGACACAAGGTCAGCAGGGAAACCAGCAGGGGCTCTGTGGAAGAAAGCTGAGGGAGGATTTACAGCCTCAGAAACCCACAGGGGCAGTTCCAGCCTGGCCTATCAGGCCACCAAGAGTTGGAACCAGCCCCGTGGCAGTGAGTGCGCCTTCACCTGAGGGACCAAGGTCTAGAAAGTGATGTGATTGACAAGGGCAATGCTGTAAGAATAGTTTATAGTGAAGCCAAGAATATTCTAGTGAACCTGAAAACCATTCTAAGGTTCACACCCCCTTCCTGCTTCCATCTTGTCATCTTTTAACATGTTAACAAATATCCACACCTACTATGTACCACGCAGTATTTCCAGCCCAGGTAGCAT